TTCCCTGATGGAATAAAAGTTGGAATAGAGAAAGGAGGGATTACAGTACATTGAGCTGGAAAATATGCAGTTCTGGACAAGAATTACTGTCCAGAAATTATGTGTCCTTGAGCAGGCAACTTTCATCCTAGATCTTTTTTCCCTCATTTTAAAAATGGTAACTTTGGGTGTGGTAGCACACACTTGTAATCCCAGCATTAGGGAGTTCAAGGCCACTCTGATTATATAGTAAGACACTGTTATTGAAAAGAGGGTTGACAGCAGTACAGAAACCATAAATTTCTGTGATGTGAAAAGGGTTTGCTACATTTTCAGCCAACTTGAGAATTAAGAAATTTGACCCAGGCATAGTGACCAGGCCTGTAATACACTCCTGAAAGTTGAGTCGGGATGATCACAAATTGTAACTCAATCTGGGAATCTTACTGGCTTAGAGAGATCCTGCCTCAAAAAGAAAAAACATCCCAGGCGTGATGGCATGTGCGTGTAATCCCAGAACTTGGGAGGCAGAGGCAGGAGGATTGCTACAAGTTGGTCAGCCTGAAATGGACTGAGACCTATCTCAAAAAACATTTTAAAAAGTACTTAGAAAGCAGCTCAATTGTGTAGACCTGGGGCTCATTCCACAATATCAGAATTTTTTTTAATTTTATTTAAGGAGAAAAGAAAAAAAAAACAGTGAAAGGGTACAAGTTATACAGATTTACAGAAGAAAAAAATGAACAGTAGGAAATCACTAGTTAATGGATTACATATTGCCATCTTAGAAATAATTGTTCAAGTCACAAAATTAAAGCTTGTAGAGTGGACATTCCAACAATGATACTGCAAACAGTTCTGTTCAATGATCCAATAAAACTCTGTGATATCATTTTCTATCTTATACACTTAAATATACATGCAGTTATATAGTTTAGAGCACTTTCTTTTCCTCTCTTTTGTACAATGACTATTACACATTTTGGGTTTCATTGCTCCCACGGTTCTTATTGCTTTTTTGGAAGAGAGTAAAACCAAATGTGACATAACAGAACAGAATCGGTCAAGTCAAAAGGGTGGACATAATAGATAATATAAAAACATAATACAAGGTGATCAACAATGGTTACCATAATGCCTCCCGCTATCTCTAATAGAATTGCCTATATCATTAGTTATAATACAATTGAACAAAACAGTAAAGAACAAAACCAAAACATTGGAGACATTGTAGGTCTTCAAAAGTAGATAAAAGTCAACGAGAATGGGCGTTATAATGAATCTCATTATCTTCACAGCTGATGCCTAAACTTTTGAACCTGATACTATCCAGCAAAACAGAATAGGGGAACATCAGTCAAAAACAAGATGGTGAGAGTAATACAGGGCTTCAAATTGAGATAATAGAAAGTCAAAGTGGGTTACTATAATATATCCTGCTATTTTTTTCCCTTTAATTAAACGGATAAAAATAAAAAAGTAAATAATGGAGTGGAGATTGAGAAAAGAGGGCATAACAGCGAAACAGCGCAGATCAAAACATAACCATTTAAGCAGAATAGTGTTTCACCACCAGATAATTCCGACCCAAAAGTAGTTACATATTGACTCTTTCCTTGAAGTCCTTGAGTACAACTTCGTATACTGTAGCATTAAGTATATCAAAACAATGTAAAACCATTTAAGAGAATGACAGCATTACAGAGTATTTAGAATTGACTAACAGAAAATGAACAATGGTTTCTGTATAATCTCCTTGTCTTTAAAAGGTTTTTGCTTATAGTATCGTACATAATAAAATCCAATAAGATACAACCTGTTTAGACCATTGGAGACAGAAGAACAAAAGCTAGATGAGACTTCAAAACAAGATGATACTAAATCAGTATTACCTATTAAGATGTCATTTTCTCCAAAATAGCTGTTCCTATCATCCAATCTTCTCTGCCTCATTTCTGTTGAGCTCTTTTTCTGTCAGTAGCTGTCAGTTTGTCTTCTTCATTTTGTTCTCTGCTCCATTCGTTGTGGCCTCCCCGCTACTATTTCTGGGTTCTTTGTATTTTTCTTTTTTTAGAATATCCTGCAATACTTTCTGTAGAGTTGAATTGATGGTTGCAAATTCCCCCAGTTCCTCTTTATCCTGGAAGCACCTTGTTTTTCCATCAATTTCCAGGGACAGTTGTGCAGGATATCTCAATCTTGGCTGGAGATTATTATCTTTCAAAGCTTGAATTATTTCCCCCCACGCTCTTCATGATTTGATGGTTTGTGCAGAGAAATCTGCTGTAATTCTGATGGGTGTTCCCTTGTAAGTGGTCTGTTAATATCAGAATTTTAAAAAAAGAAGGAAATGTGGTTCATTAACAATAATTTTGGGCTGGGAATGTGGCTCAGTGGTAGAGCTCTTGCCTTGCACGTACAAGGCTCTGGGTTCAATACTCAGCACCACCAAAGAAAACTCTAAAAAACAAAACAATAATTTTTTGGGGTTTAGGATATAGCTCAGTGGCACAGTGCCTGCCTGGTAAGCAAAAGGTCATGAGTTTGATTCCTGGTATCAAAAAAATTGTAGTGAGTAACAAGCAATCCTTCCTGAAACAGTCACAAAGATTCAGAAGATGAGAGTGCAGTTCATCTTCATTTGATTTCCCAGAGAGATGTATGTTCCTCTTTAAGAAACAGGGAATACACATGTCTATGTACAACCCAATTCCTTTTTGCAACACCAGACACAGGAGCCAAGCGGATGAAAGAAATGCAGCTCAGTGCTCTCAATTCAATAATGAAGAACAAACATGCATGAGAGTATTTATTTATAAGAATTTGGGGGTACTAACCCATAACTATAAGGATAATGCATATATAACAGAGATACAGATAAAAATCTTCCTTATTTATTCATGTAAAACAGTTGAAATATTCAACAGAAAACTGTAAGAATAGCATTTCTTTTTATTTTATAAAGAACTCATAAAATTTCATAATAAAATAAGAGAATAACAAGAGTTACTACATTGTGTATTATTATTTTGAAATTACTGAGTAAAAGTCATAAACCAAAAATATTCTTTTTTTTTTTTTTGTGGTACTGGGGATTGAACTCACAACTTCATGCTTGCTAGGCAGGTGCTTATGCCACTGAGCTAAATCCCTGGCCCCACCAAAAATATTCTTACAAAAAGGAAATAAACAAATAATGACATAATCTTTCCTTTTAATGAACTAAGATAAGCTAACAGTATAAATGAAACCAATTAGTGTATCTCAAAAATCCATTTTCTTTGGATAGAAGCCATATCAGGTATTGAACTGAGAAGAAGAGATACTACACTTAATCTTGGTCAAAAGGTAGAGATGCAATGAATACAGTTTTCAAAACTACCCAAACTCAAGGTGTTTAAAAGAGGCATACTAACTATTCTGTGCTCTGTGTGCTGAAAATGAACTCAGGAGATTTACAACATATCCCAGAGCAATCTTGACAATCCTGGGACTCTAATGTGTAATACTTTGAATTACTTTTAATTTCTTCTCATTCTGAGTCCATACAAGTCACTTTGAAATTATCTCATGCTTTAGAAATCAAACAATTTTTTTTAAAAAAGGTTACCAGTCCTCCAAGTGACATTAGCAGTGAGCATGTAAAGTTGAAAAATGCCTCAGAATGAAGGGGACCAGAGAACCTCACCCTGTCACTTGTCCCTGTATGGATTCCCAGTTCCTGGGAGTCTGGTGGAGGGGTCCACTGGCTCCTTCTGGACGAGTCTGCATTCTTCTCCGTGGTCTGGACAGGAAACTCTGTTCCCTCCCATGACTGTCATTACTGGCAGCCTGGGCTTTGGGCTGAAAAATGCTCCTCTGCCCTGGGCCAGGAGATGTGGAAGGAAGAGAGATGATGTCAGACCCCAGGGGGCTGCCTTTTCTAGATGAGAAGATTGACATTCTAAGTGAGTTCTAACCAGAGTTTCCACCAACTTGTTAGTCCAATTTTCTCACTAGTCCTTCATTCTTAAGCCAAATCCTGAACCATCATTTCCCATTGTGGTTCTCAGACCTTGGTTAATCTTGTCATTCTGATAAACGTCCATGATAATCTACTTTAGGACAATATATGTCATTGGCAAGAGCAGAAAGTCATCTAGATAGGGAAACGGGAAAGGAAGCTCTCCCAGGTGCACTCAGGCCATAAGCAGTGTGTCTGCAGGCTAACTGGAATGAACATGCGGTTAGGGATACTTCTCTGCCATTTCTGGATATCTGCCCTGTGCCGTCTAATATCTCACAGTGAAAATACTTTGTTATCAATGAATGTCTACCGTTGTAGACATTCGAGACAAGGGGAAAATGTGCCAAAAGTTTATTTGAAGAAGTAAAATGAAGAGTGATTTTTTCCAGCTATACCACTTCTAGGCATTTTCCCAAAAGGACTGAAAACATCATACCACTGTGATACATATGCACCCATGTGTATAGCAGCACAATTTGTAACTGCCAGATCTTTCCTTCTGCTCGTGTGCTTTCTCCCTTGATTGGAGGCCAGCACACTGGCCTTATTCTCTGTGCATAGTGGTAGTCTTCCAGGAAAGCCAGCCTAAAAGAACACCCATGACCCTGTGCTAGGAGGGCTGTGTTCTGACAGACATTTGTCCTGTGTGTGGATTAACTTCCAGAAAATTATGACAACAGAAAAAAACCCAGAATTTAAGTGGAAATACAAATTTATATAGGCTGATACACACCAAGTACAAAAAAATTTTCTCCACAGCCTCATATGGACCCAGCTGATGGTAGTGAAGAGATTTTCTACCAAAACTGCTCCTCCAGGAAGATGTGCTTTCTAGGAGGTCTGCTGAGCGGCCTCCCAGCACCCAGGGCTTCCCTCCCAGGATGTGTGTATCTGACAGTCACTTCTCTGAATGTGAAGGAAATGTTACTGAGTAGTTCCTTTGGTAAATGGCTCATCAATTAAAATGTATTCCAAGTCCCTCTCACCTTGAACAAAGAATCGAACGAGACAAGGGGAAAATGTGCCAAAAGTTTATTTGAAGAAGTAAAATGAAGAGTGATGGGTGAAGGGGTAAGGGAGCAAATGGCTCTGTGGAGCAAACTTGGGATGAACAAGGGGGACAAAGAGACAAGCAAAAATAAAAGTACGCTCTGGGAGATAGATACAGGGTGGGCTACTGTGAAAGAGACGTGGCTCCTCCTGGTGTCCGTGTCCTTACACGTCATCCACATTTCATGGGAACCCACGAGAAGTTCTACACACAGGGTCCTGAGAGGTGGTGCTATGCAGACTCTCGGATCCAAGCCAGTCTAAGCCACGCCCATCTCCTGTCTCAGGAAAGAGGGCGGACAGCCTTGTGCAGGGGACCATGGTGTGTAGAAGGTGGATGAGAGTTGTGAAAACTGGTCCTTGACTGAGTTTCCTGAGCTTGCCAGATTGACAGAACCCCGTGCAGTGGTGTACCCCAGGGATGCAAAAGATCTGCCCTCAGGCCAGGGTCTTCAGGGGTCCAGATTCCTTACAATGCAAGGTTGTGATCTCACTGCCACACTGAGTTCAGGATCATAAAATTGGATCTGGAAAGAAAAGCAGGTCTCTAAAAGGATGAAGACCCCCAAGGACATCACCCCCTGTTCAGCCTGCAATTCTTTCTAGTCCCCAGTCACCGCAAAACTACTCCTCCTCTCTTCTCAGCTGAGCTCTCTCTCTCACATCCCATTCGAGCAGACTGCCCACCTCCACACACTCTGCCAGGAACATCCCAGTGTCTCAGTGCATGCAGCTAATGAACTGCTTGTGGAACTAGGAATCTTGGCAAAGTTCTGCCATAAAGGAAGAAGACTATGCCTAGTTTAGGAAGCTGGTTTTTTCCTCCACATTATTGACCAGGTAGTTGGAAAAGAAAGCAGGCTGCTGGTCATGGGCACAGCCAAGAAAGAGCTAGGTCATCTCCCTGGGAAGCATGGATGGATTGCCTCTATTTCAGGAGATCATCAGCCTGGGCAGCACTCCCAAGACCATAGCTGCTTGGGGAGGCCAGACTGCACGTAGCCCTAGAGAAGGGGTCTCCTATCCAGAGACCACAACAGGAGCCAGGTGGAGAGACCTGGGAAGACTCCTGTGCTCTCTAACACTGCAATTGTCACCACCGTATCCCTACCTCCCTTCCCTGCGGCTTGTCCTGGGGGAACACACCTCTGTCTCCGCACCACATAGCAGGGTGGCTTGGGTTTCTTTTTGCCTTCATTCCTCTCCTCCCTAATGGCCAACACCAAGCTTGGCTTATGGGGTGCATGAAGTTCACCACCATTTCCTAAATCACTTCACCGGCCCAATCCCATTCCAGTGAAGTGAATTCTGCAAGGAAGAAAGCCTCAGCCAGGTCAGCACTCCAGGTTCAGGGTCTTCTCTGGCCCACAGCCTGTCCCCCTTGCTCTTGTGACTGTAAATTACACAAATCATGAACGCTGCCCTTTGTTTTATCTGCTGTACCCATGTGAGCCTTTCACGGGTCATAATTTTCTCGAAGTTAATCCACACACAGGACAAATGTCTGTCAGAACACAGCCCTGCTAGCACAGGGTCATGGGTGTTCTTTTAGGCTGGCTTTCCTGGAAGACTACCACTATGCACAGAGAATAAGGCCAGTGTGCTGGCCTCCAATCAAGGGAGAAAGCACATGAGCAGAAGGAAAGATCTGGCAGTTACAAATTGTGCTGCTATACACATGGGAGCATATGTATCACAGTGGTATGATGTTTTCAGTCCTTTTGGGAAAATGCCTAGAAGTGGTATAGCTGGAAAAAATCACTCTTCATTTTACTTCTTCAAATAAACTTTTGGCACATTTTCCCCTTGTCTCGTTCGATTCTTTGTTCAAGGTGAGAGGGACTTGGAATACATTTTAATTGATGAGCCATTTACCAAAGGACTTCACTTTACCTTTGGGGTGCCCCTGCATTAACACCTGGGCCCTCGTTAGCTCCATACATGGGATGTTTGATTGGTGAACCCTGGCCAGACTTGCTGCCCCGTCCTGTCTGTGCCACTGCACCCAGTTTGCAGTCTTTGGAGGTTTTTTGTATCCCAAAAATGGGTAGTGCAGATAAAACAAAGGGCTTCAGTACTGCATGTGAGGCCCAGTGATGCCTCAGCATTGTACTCGTGCAGCTCTGTTGCTCTAAGTTCCATGACTACCACTGAAGCCCTGTGACGACACAGGGGACAGCTGGTTCACAGACAAATGGTGTTTGGCCTGTTGGTGCTTTCTTAAATATGTAAATTTGTTGTTATCTTAAAAAAAAAAAAAAAACAGGGCCAGGAATATAACTCAGTTGCATAGCACCCGCTTGGAAATTGCAAGGTCCTAAGTTTGATTCCCAGTACCAAAAAAACAAAAATCAAACACAAAACCCAAACTCTTAAAAAAAATTCACTTACATCTGCCCCTTTCCCTAGGCAAATATTGTCTGGTTTTCCAGTCCCCCAGTGTCACACTGAAGCAGAGCCCAATTCGGAAGCTGGCTATTAGCCAAGCTCACAAGGGTATTTAACTGAAATAAAGCCCAATGTGTACAAAAAAAAGCATTCAAGTAGATAATCTGATAACTCAAACTCAAACTGAGAAGCAGTAAAACCTGAGAGCAGTAGTGACCTGAGTCCTGGGAGTCCTGGGAACTCTGGAAGGTGAGGGCGGGCCCTGCCGCAGACCACATTAGGCCTCTTGACTACACAGGCACATGGGCATGACCCCTTGGGGACAGCAGATGGAGAAACAGCACAGTCCTAAGACAGGGCTGTGTTCTGACAGACATTTGTCCTGTGTGTGGATTAATTTCCAGAAAATTATGACCTGTGAAAGGCTCACATGGGTAGTGCAGATAAAACAAAGGGCGGTGTTCACGATTTGTGTAATTTACAGATGTACTTTAACAGGGTCACTTTCTTGATGTCTAACATGGGTTAAAATCTATCTGACCCCTGAGTAGAGCCCAAGTCCACAGTGGGTGTCACCTTTAATACACTCACACAGGCTGTTCCTCTTTACTACTGTGCTGAGATTCTCATACATTTAGTATTTTGAAATAAAGGACCTGTGAACAGTGGAGAGCTCCAAATCTAAACTGGGGTGAGCCCACATCCACATACAACAGAGGGATTGATGGCCCTACCAGTGAAACTTGCCAGAGCTGGACAAGGACGAGGGCAGTGGATGACACAGTATCCCCTGTGGGGAGCTTTGTTTGTACCTTTGGGGTGCCCCTGCATTAACACCTGGGCCCTCTTTAGCTCCATACATGGGATGTTTGATTGGTGACCCCTGACCAGACTTGCTGCCCCGTCCTGTCTGTGCCACTGCACCCAGAGTTTGCAGCCTTTGGAGGTTTTTTGTATTCCTATGCAAAAGCAAGTCCAGGAATGAAAACCTCAGACTGAATGCACTTACGCAGAAATGTCTTCCCATGAGCTGCCTTGAGGCAGAGACTGTGCAGCCCTGGGCCCTTTGTCTCTGGGTGGCTGATCTTGGTGTAGCTTTATGTCACACCAATGGGTGTATATGCAAGTTGGCTCCCAGCTGCCTGGGCCTGGACCAACTACAATGTCTTCACACTGTGGGTCACCCTCGTGCAGCTCTGCCAGGGACTGCAGCAGTGCTGGCTCAGCAGTTGTGGAGCTTTCTGTTTTAAGCATGGAGTGAGCTGGTGGTGAATCTTTCACGGTCATACAGAAGGCCTGGTGCTCAGAATATTAAGTGACTTGCCCTATCAAGAGCATCCCATGAAATAATCTAACACCAGGGTTTTTTTGTGTGTGTGTGTGACAGTATTAACCCTGAGTGTGTCTGCCATCGTGCTGTGTACCTGGCCTCCACCAGGCTACCTAGAAGTGGGGACCCCACCACACTCCACTACAGGGGCGGTGAGGCTCAGCCATGCTCTTCACCTCCCCACCTGAGGGTCTGCACTCTGTCCTGAGTCATCCATCAGTCCCAACTCTGGCCAAAGCAAAGTTTCTTCCAGAGACAAAGGGCAGCAGGCAGTTCTGAGGAGGAAAACTGGGAGGGAGATGGCCGCTCCACAGCGCCCCAGCTGTCTTGCTGTGCCGGGTATCACTTGAGGTTTATTTGGAATCACCCTAGATCCACACCCAAAGCCCCCACATCTCTGGGGTCCTGAAACACTTTCATGTAGTTTAATGTGGCACCAAATGGACTCAAAGATGTTTATAGGTGAAGCAGCATTTAATGCTTCACACAAAGCAGGGCCTATTTTGAAGGTTTCAAATGCACACATCTAGGCAAATGTGCTTTGCTGAGCAGTTAGGTCTATTATAGACCAGAATCCACAAGTTGTGATTTCTCATTTTCTTATTTTTCTTTCCCTCAAAAACATTTCTATTACCTAAATATAGATAATATACAAATAATGTGCATATAGTGATTGGTGGGGTGTTTTGTTACTCAATGTATATACGCCCTACAACTTGTATGCATTTTCTACTGATATCAAAATATCTACTGATATTTCATTGCAAAATGAACAGTACAACTGACGAGTGTGTACACTTAAACTTGCAATACTGTCCTCACTAAATCTCATGTTGTCAAAACAAGGTTGTCTAAGACTTGCTTCTTTAAAACAGACACGTGTTGGGTCCAGCAGACCACTGCTGGTTCTCCCTGACCCACCTCTGAGGTCTGAGGCACCTCCTGAGACGCCAGCCAGAGCTGTGGAGGTTTGAGGAAAGTGAACTCAAAGTCAGAGAAGACATGGCTGGAAGCAAATGGGGAAAACAAGTAACAAATGGCACAAAGTGTTTAATTTCCTGCCATTCGTGTGCTCTACAGATTGTACACGCTGTGTATTTACAGGGACAAGTGCTTTTTAAGTACTTCATAAAACAAAGATCAAACTTTACACATCTCTGAACAACACAAACTGTCTAAGCCATACAATTTATTCACATAGAAACACTTTCCATCTGTATTAAATGCAGTTTTCCCCACTCCATCTCCTGATGCAGGGCCAGTGAGTTTTGAGTGTGGCACACTTGGATAGCATATCCATATTAAAATAAAATCACTAGAAACTTTAAGGCACCCAAGCTGACAACTCAGACTCTAATATCACACAAGTGATGAGACACGGTATAAAAAAGTGTTACATAATAAAAACATACTGTGAGCTTTACAGATGTTTGGACTATACATTCATTATGTGAATACTCATCATAAGTGGTAAGTTAATTGAAAAAGTCCCAGAAAGTTAATAAACAGAACTTGTCTATAAAATATGTTTTCAAATCTAGAACACAACAAAAATAGGAAGCAAATTAGTGTCCACAATCAGACATCACAGAAAACAGACTTCCCTCAAAGTCTGGTTGAGAGCTTGTAAACTTTTAAATAAGTCTGTAAATTAATTATGTGCACTGTCAGTTTGCACTTTTAAACAATTTCACGGTTTCCCAGTTGGCCTTGCACCAGATTCTAACTTGGAGAAACATTACATGAAATATGACTAACCAATCAGAATCCAGAATCAAGCAGCAGTTGAGATGTTTTATTCCAGGTCATTTTTTTTTTTTTCCGTACTGGGGATTGAACTCAAAACTGCATGTTTGCAAGGCAGGCGCTTACAGGTCATTATTTTCAATGTGATTTGTATATCCTATATTTTACAATGGTCAACAGTTGTAGAAAGTGCTTATTCCTTTGGAATAAGAGTAGTTAAGGTTAAAAATTTTAAAAAATGGTAAAATCTTTTAAATTTTTTTTATTTTAAAGAGATTAAGATAAAAGAGGACATAACAAAGCAGATCAGAACAGAACAATTTAAGCAACACAGTATTTTACCACAAGACAACCCGATATAACAGTAGCTACCATAATGTCTCTTTCCTTGAAATAGTTGAGCATACCTTCAATCATGGTAAAATCTGCACAGTACTTAGCAAGGAAGTATCAGGCAGACATACAAATTTTTCTTTAACATTTAGGCTGAGGTGGCATGGGCTCTTTGGAGCATGTTGAATCTGAAAGACGAGGCACAAGCATTAGTTGAAGGCAGAGACCCCAGGAAGCCAGGCCCCCCTTTCTGTCCCACCCTGTCTGCAGGTCCCCTTGGTCTTTGGGAAGCTCTTTTCCCTTGAAGCCATCACTAACTTCCTGAATGGCAGTAGAGAAACCCAGGGATGCCAGGCAGCTGCAGAGGAACCGCTGGTGGCCCTGCCAGGGAGGCACCATCTGCTGGGCCCTGCTGCACCCGCCCAGCCTGAACCCCAACTGTGGCTAAGCCTTCCCAGTCCTCAAGGAGAGTTTAGTTCCTCAGAGTTAGTGCTTTCCCTTGAGGACACACAGATAAAGCATGTTAATTAACTGTATACTGATCTTCTATAGATAATTTGCCTTGAAGTTCATTTGAAATCACCCTTGCAATTGGGTATGAGACACAGGAACAGTTTGCTTTCGTGGCTTAAATGGTTCACCACTCCCTTTACCTCCACAAGTGCACAGCATGAAACACAAGTCCCCACCTTCCAGGACCACAGAATACAAGTGATTCAGACACAGCCTGGACACCATGAAGGCTCTGCTCTAAGACACTCGGACCTCATCCCAACAGAGCGGCCGTGTCAGGTGAGGGCTGTGACCCAGCCTCAGCGTGACCTCTAGGCCTAGGCGCTGAGCTCCTGGGATGGGCTCTGCTGCCTGGGTAGGGGACAGACATGGGCTTCTCATCCCAGATGCTTATCCAATGACTGCTGATTCAGATGGGGAGCCTGATGGCTTCTTCCAGCGAGGGAGGAGGGAGGAAACAGGCCTGTCCTTCCCTTGCCGAGGCTGCCCTTGGAAAGCTGACTGGGAAAAGAGGTCTCCCCACTCTCTGCGCTCTCCAGTGCTGGTTTGGAGTTCAGTGACCACCACCCCTGCTGCTGTTTCCACAGCTCAACCCCAGGGAATTAGGTTTTCAGTCCCTTCTCTGTCCCTCTCTGTGCTTCTACAAAGAAGATGAACAGACAAGAAAAGTGCTTACCTTAACTTGTGAATTTTTTGTTTTATTAAGAAGGCAATCCTTAAGAAACCTTTTAATGACTTTGTACAATCTGTGGTGTCTGCTCTGAGTATGCATTACATGGTTACAATGAAACAGGTTTTTTTTGCAATTTAACACTGGCTACCTGTGATCAATCCCATATCAGGCTGAGCAAGTACAGGTTGGCACACAGCCCCTGCTGCAAAGGTCCTCCTGAGAGGAAAGCGAGTTCTCATGATGATGAGGGCCTTTGGTCCCATGGAAGATGTCCAGAGCTTGTAGCTAGGGAACAGGCCACACCCGCCCCATCACACTGCTGAGTTCTCACAGGAGGATGGAATGGACTTCAGGCCAGGCCAAAGAAATTAACTGGATTTGAATGGAGCCAGAGGTCAGGGGTTTGCAGGAGAAAGGTGAGTGGTCAAAGGTCAGGACACAGGAGCACAAGTGCACAGAAGATGGCAGAGTGCTGGCCTCAGCCAGGCTCCCTCTCAGGAGGCCCGGAGTCCAAGGGCCCTTGGTCTGTGCTCCTGGCAGAAGTGCTGGCTGCAAACCAGTCATCAGTGGTCCTGTACTGGGGACAGAATGGGCCACCACTCAGACACGACCTGACTGCAGCACCTGCAGTGGCTGAGTGGACTTGGCCCTGAATGCCATGCCAACACTGTGGAGGCTGCTGTCCCCAGATGGGTGACCTGCCCTGCCAGGATGAGGGATTCTGACAATGTGGGAACCCTGCCCAACACACAGACCAAATCTGTGTCACTACCCGATCCTCAGGTAGTACACCGAGGTCAGAAACACCCATCCCTTCTGCAAATCGCTGAACTATTAATGTGAAACCACTCTGCGCATGTACAGTCTCCTATCGCGAAGAGCAAATGCTACACTGCCTCCTTCCAGTCCTGGCAGCAGCAGAGTCTGCTGTGCTCCCTGTGGTGGCCTCAGCCTTCCTGGAGCCCGCTTCTCTTCACAACTGTCAGAGCTGCACACAGATCCCGGTCTGCGGAAGGCAGGAGCCTGGCCCTGCCTGGGCCTCCCCAAGAGAACACATTTCAACCACTGAGGACCCAAAAGGCCTCGGGGCAACCGAGGTGATGTGTCACAATCCCTGCACTGATGTGCATGGCCTTTACTCAAGAACGTGACCCTCAGTGTCTAGGGCAGGGCCTGGCTAAGTTTCTTCCCTGTGAAGGGACGGCTGACAAACACTGAGTGTGGTGGGCTGTGCGGTCTCAGCGGTGACGACTCCCTTCTGTCAGGAGCACCAACCTCACACAGACCACTGCACGCTTCAGCCAAAGTCTACAGACACTGACATTTGGATTTCACACATCGTTCAGGGGAAGCAAAGTGCTGCTGCTCTTTGGAAGTTTTGAAAACACGAAAGCCATTGTTACTCACAGGTGATGAGTGACAGGCACAGGGTTGGCTTTGGCCTTCGAGACGCAGCTTGTCAACCTGTGCCCCGGCCCCAACTCCCGTCACTTTCATTCTTAACAAGTTTCTCAGGGTTCCAAAATACATGAAAAACACAAAAGTTCTGTCTTGGGAGCACATACTCAGACACCCAGAGTGCCTAAATTCCAGGGTCATAAATTCCACTTCCACGTAACCATCCTTTGGTGCTAGGGATCAGTGTCAGGCACCCAAACTACAATGAGTCACTCAGGGCCTGGGAGTCGAGGTGGACGAGGCAGGAGCCCTGTGTCACTCGCGCACCCTTGAGGCCACTTCAGGTTCCATCTCTATGTGTTAGTCACCACTTCAAAAAACCTTGTCAAGAGTGTTTTTTCTCTCAGTTCCAAAAATCTCCTTTTACCCTGGCTATACTCCAACACGTGGCTCTTATTGGCCCTGCTCTCCATTCTCAAATGCTTCTTTCGGAAAGATCCAATGCCCTCCACAGCCAGGCCATCGGTGGGCAGGAAGCTGCCCTCGAGTCTCTGGAAACAGTTAGTGGTCCCATAGATTGAGGCCTTCTGTAAGTGCAGTCCTGCTTCTATTGCAAAATCTTCTGATTTCTTCCCAGTGTCTCTTCTTTTTTTTTCTTCCTTTTCTTCTCCTTGTGTGGCGGCTTCACACTGGCTCCCTGCCTGAGTACCGGATGTGCCTGTCAGGGTAGTACCTGCAGTCTTGCTCAGCCCCTCTCCTGGTTTGGGAGTGGTGGAAGCTGAACCTTCCCAGACTGCAGTGCTTGCTGTGACTGACTCTCCCCATAGCACAGAGGGTTCCTGCTCCTGTTGCAGGGCAGCACAGTGCAGCACTCCTGCTTGGTGTGCTTTCTGGCACCGCTTTCTGTGCCAATGACCCTCAGTCCTGCTCCAACTCCAACTTTTCTGCATGTGTTCCCCACTGGAGGAGCAGTCTCAACAGTTATGGTACTATCCTCAGTCAACTTTCCTAAGGTTGCCAATTTTCTCTTTAACGGGAGGGCGATCCAGAACATTCTGGACAGCCTTACCTTCACGGCACCTCTCTCCGTGACTGTGCTCAGGACCATCAGGATGGGCACCTGGGGTCCTGTGTGGCTGAGCAGAGGGCAGCCTGTTGGCAGATTCACCTGTGCTCTGGGATAGAGCTTCTGTGTCACCACTCTGGTCTCCACTGAGGGAAAACCATGAGCTCGGGCTCATGTTCACCTTTTGGATGTGTGGAGGGAGCCAGGCTCAGCTGTTCCACTGTCTCTGCTGGACCAGAGTCCTGTAGGCTCTTGGATAGCAAAGTTTTGACCTCCTGGGGGGTTTCGCTGCAGTCCTGTGTTGCCTGCTGAGCATCACAGGGTTCAGGAAGTGGATCCACCCCCATGCACATCTTGTTGGTGCTATGAAGGTTTGTGATGGGCAAAGACTCATCAGGTTTGGCTGAGCTGTTTTCTAAGACAACTTTGGTAGCATGAGACTGCTGTCAGGGGGTAGGAAAGCCTCCGTAAACTGGCTGCACAGATTTGTGATTGGGTCCAGTTTCTCATGCCAACCAGGAGTGGGGCTGCCAGCCTCAAGCACCACAGTGAGGTCCCCTGTTGGGTTCTGCCCTGTTCCAGGTGGACTGCATCCCCGCCGAAAGAAAGAGACAAGCCAATAGTTAGCATGACTGCTATACAGGTTTTGCCATGGCTTACATTTACTAAATATTTTATCACTTTAAATATAGCCGGCCACAAGTCACTATCAGGCTATCATCTCTAGACACCAAATTTTCTCATTAAATAGAAATAAATGTATCAATCCTGTTTTTCAGCAACAATAATTCTGCACCTCTAGACTTTTCCTATTTCCAGATGCATGTCTAATTCTTAAAAATTAAGTCTAAACAAACAGCCGAATCACGGACTGCTGACTTTTCTGGCTCCCTTCTTCCTCTTGGAGCCTCAGAAGCAGAGCAGCTATTTCCAGACAGAGCCAACAGCTCCTTGAATCGTGGAAAACAGGGACTCACTGAGGCTCTGGGGAAACCTTCTGCAGGAACTGCAGGCTGCCGTTGGCAGCTGGAAAGCTTCTGACACACTCTCAAGGTTAGCTGCCAGCTGCCAGGAAACAATCAATCACCCGCCTGGATCTCGGCTCTTCAGTGAGGAGATAACCTGTCCCCAGTCCCCACGGGGAAGTTCGTTGTCCTGAGAGTAGAAGCGGGGTTCTTGGGGCCACACGCAAAGGAAGGCGTGCTTGGCTGCAGTACATACATGGCCTCATTTACACAAATGTGTAATTACTCTCTTGCACACTGAATTTGGGGACCAGGGTGGGTTAGGAAAGAAACCGGGGAAGATCACTGTGAAATGACAGCGCAGCCCCGCTGCTCTATCTTAAGGTCAAGTGGGAGTGAGCGTTCTCTGCCTCTTCACTCTTAACAGTTCTGCACCCTGACTCAGGGTCTCAGGGGCCATCTGGGCTGCGCAGTGCCAGGAGGAGGCTCCTCCCCTGCACGTCCTCACACCCATGGGTGAAAATCCCAGTCGTGTTACTGCCACAGTTTTCACGGACACTACACTCCCCAGGAATCCAACAACCGTGTAAACTGAGGAATGGTCACACCGTGATGCGGCTGGAACGTCACCAAAAGTCAGTCACCACCGCAGCCCGACAGCGCAGATGGCAAATCTGGAGGCAGCGTTTATGCTGAACGGTCACACGGTGAACCTGCGGGCGGGCGGCTGCCACCTGATGCAGAGTCCTGCAGCAGTGGTTTCACCTGCAGTTTGCCCACGAAGCAACCACGCCTGCATTTCAAACTCCTTTCCTCTTATTCTGAGTTACGTTACAGGTAGGTGAATATATTGGCTTTTGCTAAAATTGAATATGGGGACAAATTATATTCTCTATGAATTTAACTTCAAATTTCTAGAGAGGCCCTTACAAAATACATGCTTCATGACAGTGCTGGGACCCGTCTTTCTCTAAACTCAGTTTGCCCTTCACATACTCATTCATCATTAAAAAGATGAAATGGGAAAGCACGTGGGGTCGGGTTCAGAGGTGTGCAAGGGCACTGCTGGCCAGGGCAGGCGACACAGAGGAAAACGACAAGCAGTCACAGACAGCTTTCTCACTCTCCTCAAAGGCAAACTGACATATCCTACAGGTTATTTTTCAGATAGACAGATAGATAGATGGATAGATAGATAGATAGATAGATAGATAGATAGATAGATAGATAGGGCTTGGAGAACAGGCAGCTTATTATGATTCCAATGGTGGTTTTTTGTTTCTCAGGGTGTTCTGGAATCTCAGGGGCTGTTCCCTGATCAGTTTTGGAAAGAAGTAGTAATATTATCAGGACCACACCTCTTGACTCTGGGACTTCCACTGGGACTTGGTGTGGAACTCCTTGCTGGGTCTTTCCGTGGCCTGGTCCCACTGGAGCGGGGTGAATTCTGCAAGGAAGAAAGCCACAGCCAGGTCAGCACTGCAGAATCAGGGCCTGCTCTGGCCCCACTGCCTTCCCCTTTGCTCTTGTGACTGACAAGTTACACAAATCTCGAACACAGCCCCTCTCTTTCATCTGCTCTGCCCATGTGCACCTTTCACAGGCCCTCATTTTCTGGTTAATCCACACACGGGACACACAGTGTCTGGCAGAACACAGCCCTCCTGACATGAGTTCACATACAGTCTCCTTGGCTGGCTTTCCTCGGAGGCCACCACTATACAGACAGAAGTAAAGCCAGCTTTGTGGCCTTCAAGCAAGGGAGAAAGCACACGGGCAGGAGGAAAGGCCGCTTCAGGACTGCATGTGAGGTCACGGCTGCCGCCGCCCAGGGATGCCTCAGCATTGTATTGGTTCAGCTCTGTTGCTGTAAGTTCCATGACTACCACTGAAGCCCTGTGACAACACAGGGGACAGCTGGTTCACAGACAAATGGTGTTTGGCTTTGTCAGTGTTTTCTTAAATATCTAAATCTGCTGCTTAAAAAAACAAACTCTTAAAAAGTCAATTATAGGGTTAGGGATATAGCTCAGGGCACAGTGCCTGCCTGGCAAGTGCAAGGGCCTGAGTTGGATTCCAGGTACAAAAATCAAATAAATAAATAAAAAGTCAGTTACACTGACTGCCCCTTTTCCTAGGCAAATACTTTCTGGGTTTCTAGTCCCCCAGTGTCACACTGAAACAGAGCCCAATTCAGCTGGCTATCCGCTAAGCTCACAAGGGTATTTACCTGAAATAGAGCCCAATGTCTACCAAAAAACCATTTAACTAGATAATTTGATAACACAAACCAAACTCTTTTAAAACCTGACAGCAGCAAAGATCTAGTGTAGTTCAAGCTGCAGATGGCCTGGGCATGGGGTCCCAGGAACTCTGGAGAGCAGGGGCGGGCCATGCCCTGCAGACCACATCAGGCCTCTTGGGCACACAGGCACAGGGGCATGATCCCTTGGGGACAGCAGATGGAGAAACAGCACAGTCCTAAGACAGCTATGTGGACATAAAGTGTCCTTGTAACAGGGTCACTTTCCTGATGTCTAACATGGGTTAAAACCTATCTACCCTGAGTAGGGCCTAGTCCACAGTGGGTGCTCACCTTTAATACACTCACACCAGCTGTTCCTGTTTACTTCTATGCTGAGATTCTTATACATTTAAAATTTTGACACAAAAGACCTGAATGAACTTTTTGACAAGAAATCCAGGTTTAGACAGGACATGACAATCACTGGAATGTTAGCCTGAAGGTTTGAGGACAGACCCTTAGAGTGAGGTAAAATCAGAGGCCACCTCTGAGGTGTTACCTTCACTGTGTGAGGGGGAAGCTGTGGTCCAGGAAGCCCTGCTGCAGCCTGCTTGTTAGCGATGCCCCGAGGACTGGTGAGCCGGTGGGGAGAGGACTGGCCATGGCAGTGGGTGGGATGCCTAGCAAATTCACTCCCACTTTTCATATCATTGGTCCTAGGGACAAAGAATGAGAGGGCTTAGGGTGATGGATGGATAGTAGAGACAGATTTACAGACTCAGTCCCTCTGGAAGTCACTGATTCTAAGTCACACTGCACAGAGCCTTAGGCTGCACTAGCTGCTTTCGGGGTGTAGGTCAGTGGGGGGTGCTCAGCTCAGGACACAAGGGCAGCTGGGTAAAGGAAATAGTACTTTTAAACTCTATTCTGATGATGCTGCTATCAGGATATTTTTTCTTCTTGTCTTTATAAATTAAAAATATTTACCACTGTAGGAAACTTATAATGTCCAAAAAAAAAGGAAAAATACTACAGCACACAACCGCCCCCCCCAATAGTTCCCCTTTATTCCAATAGATCATCTCCCCATCTTTCACCCAATACGATTGATTAATATTTCAAACTACTTTTTTTCCACATAGTCACCAGTTTCCCAAGTCATTAAAAAAAAAGGTTTATAACAATCACTCCTACCAGGCAATGGGCAAAATAGCAAGACTGTCATGGTTTATGTCTGTGTCCCCCAGGCCTCATGAGTTTGCATTGTGCATTTGTGATTGGTTCATTGTCTAGTGCTTGGATTGATAGTGTCAGTGCTCCCCCCACATAGGGGTGGAGCCAGGATGTGATGTAATGGCAGGAAGAAGGTATGTCTTGCTCTTTGCCGGTTCCGGCTTGCCATGCCCGCCTGCCTTGGAGCCAACTGAGTGTGAACTGAAACCTCCAAAAACTGTAAGAAATAAACCTTTCTTTTCTCAACTTGGGCATCAGGTATTTTGTCTCAGCAATGAGTAAAAAGTGACTAAGATAAAGACACTGTCTCAAAAAAGAAAAAAAATCACTAACAACTGCATATATTTTAATGCATCATTTTGCCACTGTTGAGCATTTCAGGGTATTCTTAACTTGAAGTTACCAATATTTAAAAGGGCCACCTTGGAGGCTGCAGTGTGGCTCAGTGGTAGAATCTGCATAACTTACTCATGGCTCTGCATTCTACTCCCAGCATGAAAAAAAGGAGCACAGGAGTAGAGTACACATCCACGGTGGAATACACACCAGATTTTTTTCCAAAAGTGGAATTTGTGAGGCAGTTTGCAGCTGCAGCAGGATCAACCCAACTGCTGGTCTGAGCCCAGGCCAATGCCTAACCAGCACTGTGCTCAGTACTAGGGAGGTGCTGGGTGGGACCATGCAGGGTGCTCAGAGCTCCCTTCCCCAGCCCTCTGCCCATGGCCTCCACATCTCCAGGTCTACTCTGTTTGCTGCCAGCAGCATAAGCCACCCCACCCCCTCAGTGGTTACCTTTTCCTGTCTCCGCCTCTGGCGCTGAGTGCCAAAGAGCTGGACCTCTAACACCAGCTCACAATCCATGCTCAAAAGCGGCCTCCTGACTCTTCATGCACGTGGCAGTGTAAACCTTAAACTCCAGTTTTCAAAAAGTAACTCAAGGGCTCAGTGCCATAAGAGCCTGCCTGGCAAGTACAAGTTTCTGAGTTCAATTCCAAGTGCCACCAAAAAATCAAAAAAAAAAAAACCCCAAATCAAAACAATTTAATGTGGGTGAGATGAAAAGAAATAACATTACAGAATATTTGGTAGCTTTTTTTCATGACAATGCCTTATATAAAACAGTACGTAGGCTTGCTGGCTTAGCACAGATCGAGTATCACTGGGGAGATACCCTGGACTCATTCATCTGGTACCACAGGTCATTGCTAGCCTGCAAAAGACAGCCAGTAAGAGACAAAGATCAGATTTTGTTAACAAGAACAGAATAAAAAGAATAAGAAAAAGAAGCATTCACACAATTGTAAAACTCTCAACTTTTCCCCCAAAGAACACTAGTGCTTGCTGTCTTACAGAGTCTATGTAAAAGCAACGAGCAAAATCCATACGGCTTACTTTGACGTGACATAAGTAATGGTCCACTCGGCAGTTGTATCCTACGTGGACTAGCACTGCATACAGAGCATAAATGATGGGTTCTCCATTCGGCTGTGACATATATAGCCTAATGTCAAGATATTCGGGGTATTTCACATCCTAAACAGAAATGGACAGAGGAGAAAGGGATGTCACTTCTAAAGGCACAGAAGGCCCCACATGTTCAGGGGGTGGGGTATTTAGGGTGTCCCAGGAGAGCTGCACAACACAGCACAGGGATGTTCCAGCAGAAACCCAGTGCACTAAATCACATTTCTGAGGACACAACCTGGAGGATCCCTGATCTAAGGGTAGCTACAGTGTTCTCTCTTTATTTTCCTTAAACAGTTAAGATCCACATTAAGTGAATTCTGCAAATCCATGAGATGCAAAGCTCACAAAATGACAACTCTGGACAGTCACCACTAATTATTTTAATTTTAACTAGTTACTTTGGCTTTTTTGAGATAGGGTCTTACTATGTAGTTCAGGCTGACCTTGAAATCACCATTAGCTTAGGCTGACCTCAAACTTGCAGCATAAGCTCAAGTAGCCTCTTGCCTCACCTCTTGCCTCAGTCTCCTTAGTGCTGGGAGTATGAGTTTATGCCTCCATGTCAGACTATTTTAAGACTGTATTATTTCTCTTCTTGGTAATTATATTTTTTGTGTCTTGAAATAGGATTTCACTGTGTAGGCCAGGTTGGCATTAAACTCACTATATAGCGCAGCATGGCCCCAAACTCCTAATCATCCTGCCTTAGCCTCCTGAGTATATCATGCCCAGCTTTGTTATTGAATTTTTGATCACTGTCAACCTTTACTAAGTGGGAATAAAATAGGAAAATTCAGTGATAAATCAGAAAACAAGATAAACTTCAATGAAAGAGGCAAGATCTATTGAGGAAGTCCTCTTTAGGCTTCTAATTGTACAAGCTCTCCCTGTACCCGCTGATTACCATGGATACCAAAGAAATGATCATGAAGCCCAAACACAGATCAGAGTTCCCAATTTTATCACTAGACTACTTAGCACCCAAGAATACAGTAAAAACACAGGTACTCATAAGTGTACAGACCAAATTCTTACCTCAATTCTTTGACTTTTTTTCCTGGTATTCAATGCAAGAAAAGTTGAGAAAACTGATCAACCAAATTGTTCGATTAGGTCATTTGCAATGCTTAACAGCTACTGCCATGAAGTCTTGGCTTTACATAAAAGGTTATTAATAATATCATCTATGGGGCTGGGGATTTAGCTCAGCGGCATAAGCACCTGCCTTGCAAGCAGACAGTCGTGAGTTTGATCCCTGGTACTGATAAAAATGAAAAAGACAAAAAAAAATAGTATCATCTACATACCTTAGCAATTTTTCCACCAACAGAATTTGCAAACCATTTCAGAAAAAGCATGAGAACATTAGATGACCTATAAATAGAAAACATCTTGGAAGCTGGAACCATATTTTTGCACCTGGGGGTAAACAGAAACAAAAGGTTAAGAAGATTAATGTGTGAATTTTCTGGTGTTTTAGTCTTTCCCTTGCACTTTCTCTGAAATAAGATTCTAAAACAAGGATAACAGATGAGGGATATCACCCCTCCTCCAAACTAATAGTGAAAATATTTAAATTAAAAATAAAGGAGAACCAGCAATTATCTGAGATCTGGCCATGGTGGGACTTGGGCAGCTGCACAAGAAGGCTGTTTTCACGCCCTCTCAGTAAGCGCCCCTCGCATGGGCTGCGAAGAGAGCCAGCAGCTACCCGGGACCGGCCATGTTGAGCCTTAGGCAGCTACACAAGAAGGCAATTTGCCTGCCCTCTGAGTAAGCACCCCTGGTGTGGGCTGGGAGAAGAACTAGTCAGCTGTTCCCATGAGCCTACTGGCACTCGGGCTGAGAATCAAACATCTTCAACCACCGTCAGCAACTGGGGACAGAGTTCTGAGCATCTCTTGGGAGGGTGACCATATGCAATAGAGCAAATATGGGGATTTCCTTCTACCTTCTGTTTGAAGGCAAAGATTATTTTCACTGGACTTCCGGGAGAACATGGCGGACAGATAACAGATACTACGGAGGCTCTCTTAAAGGCTTGGTTCAGAAGTCAGGAAGGGTGCGGAGTAAGAAGACATAAGCAGGTGGAGATATGCTCTGCTGACTCAGGAATGAACTGGGCTGAGAGAAACCAACTTGGAATGCAGTCCTGGTGCTAAAACAGGAACAGAAAAGCCTCGGTGTGGAGGCTGGACCCCGCGCCATTGGAAGCCGCGATTTGGGTTTCCCGCTGCATGGTGACTGCCTCTACAGCGGCTCGGCAAGGAGAGAGACGCTCGGAAGCTCTGAGAATGGGAATCTGCGAACAGAGTCGAAAACAGGACGGGCAGGGAGGCGTGCACTGACTTGTGGTGAGGTGAGTGAGAGGAAACTGACACTCTACCACAGTTTGACTCCAGTGGAGGACTTTCTGGGCCCGGGCAGTCCTGCGGGAGCAGGGCGCGGTGGCGACTCCAGCCACACATCCCCATCTCGGGCGGGACTGGTGAAAAGTGCCTGGCCTGCATGACACTGCTGGCGGACCCGGTAGGCTGGCCCAACCCAGATCCCAGATCCTGACCGTGGCCAGGAGGGGCGGGCCCCGCGTAGGCTGCCTGGTCCGTAACTCCCTGCTGGTGCGCTGCGGTGGGCGGGAACACCTAACCGGCGCAATTCGATCAGGCTGTGGCTGACAGGGAGAGAAGCTGGGTCTCCTATATAAGCTTGCATATATAAGGAACAGAGAATATGGGAAAAGGCAGCAACAAGAAAGGCTCCTCGGCCCCCAATTCTGAGGTGTCACTTTGTAGGCCCAACCCCCTCTAACCTGCAATTTACAATAGCCGCCCTGGTATGCGAGAAGGAGGTAGAATAGGAATGCCTGTTCTCAGTGAGACCCCTCACCCTCTGGAATCCATACTGTGAGCTGGCTTTGTTTTGCAGAAGTCTTGAGGAAGTGGCTGGCCACCCTTTGTGACACTAACAGCAGACAAATTAACAACATTCTTGAGCTAATGAATTTCTTCCTGGGCTAGAGAAGTTATGAGAACTGGTTGTGATTATTTACTTCACTTAGATAGTTTTAGAATAAACATTGTAGTCTGTCACGTTGTAGCTTGCCACAAAGAATGCCTTTTCACTACTTAATTATCTGGGCTCTGTGAACTGATCGGGTTTACTATATATGAATCCTAAAATAAAGATTGTGCGTGCAGTGCAGTGTAACGCGGTGCAGACAGTAAAGGTGTCTCTCCTGTCTTTCTTTTCCGAGAACTGTACCCCCCGTGTCCCGATCAGGCGTGTGTGCGTGTTTACCTTGCCCGGAGTTCAGAGTGCTCTAAGACACTCACGACAAGTGGCGCCCGAATTCAGGGACTCCGAAGGTCGCTTAGGAAGGTAAGTATAATTTTATTACGGGGAAATGGGACAATCTGCTTCCTCTCCTTTCTTAAAAATTCTTAAACATTTATTATCTATATATGGCATATCGCTCAGGTCAGCTGACTTGGATATGTGTATTGATACAATTAAAGAATATAATCCTTGGTTTCCAGATGAAGGAACTTTGGATGTAGAAGTATGGAGAAAGACAAGGGTTAGTATAGAAAGGGCTATGCAACAGGAGGAGAAGATTCCTTTACGTTTTTGGGCTATTTGGTCGGTTGTGTACTCTTTATTAAAAGCTATGGAAGATGAACATATTGTAGAAAATCTTCAACTAGAAATTAAGCCAGTTATTCAGAAATTGCCCCTCACAGAGGAGGAGCAGAATGTAGTTCAAAATGACGCTATCGCTTTAAGTAGTGAAAAGGCGTCCAAACTAAAAGTAAAATCCACTACAGCCGACTCAGCTTTAGCTGCCGCAGCAATATCAAATTATGACAATCGCCCAATTTTACAGGCTATACAGCATTTAACACAAGAGGTGAAACAACTCTCCGTTAAGCAGAACCCGCCTGTAGTTCCCTCTGCACCTCCTCCATCTAACCCTAATTGGAGTAAAGCCAAGCTAGCTTTGGCTGATTTACCAAAATTAGGGGATTCTGATGAGGAAAAGCCTGCCTTTGCTTTCCCTGTAATCAGGCCGCAGCCAATAGATGGAGCGGCAGTTCCCCCTAGATGGGAAGCATTTAATATGAATGATTTAGCAAAATTAAAAAAGGCTGTAACCCTTTATGGCCCTCAGGCTCATTACACTAGAGAATTAATAACATCGGTAGCAGATCAGTATGGTAATCTTGCTCCTTATGATTGGAAAGCCTTGGCCAAAATTCTTTTAAAAGAGCCAGAATATTTACAGTGGCACATGTGGTTTATGGAAGGTTGTGCGAAAAAGGCAAGACAAAATGCTAACGATCGAGATCCTAATATTAGACTCATTTCTTATCCCATGCTCTCTGGTACAGGTTTCTTTGATACTGTTGAGCATCAGGCAGGAGCTCCAAGAGAGATTCATGCTCAATTAAAAGATATTGCTTTAAAAGCTTGGGATAAAATACGGCCTAAAGGATCAGAATATGGATCTTGGGCTAAAGTTCTGCAAGGAGCCAATAAACCGTATGTTGAGTTCGTTACAAGACTTCAAAATGTTATAGAAAAAACAGTAGTGGGACAAGACTTACAAGAGCATCTCTTAAAAATGTTAGCTTTTGAAAATGCTAATGATGAATACAAAAGGGCTTTAATTCCAATAAAAGATACTGGAACGATTGACAATTTTATAAAACAATGTAAAGATTTAAATTCAGAATCTAGGAAAATGCAACTGTTTGCTGAAACCATGGCAACCACGTGGACTAATTGACAATCTAAAAAGGAACAGTCTTTAAAATGCTTTAATTGTGGTCAGACAGGACATGTAAAGAGGGCCTGTCCAAAACTTGTAGGCAATGATCAAAAAAAGAGATCTAGAGCTCCTGGCTTATGTCCAAAATGCAAGAAGGGAAATCATTGGGCTCGTGAATACAGGAGTAAACAAGTTAATTCAGCTAAACAAAAGGGAAACGGGAGAACGGGCCCTACCCCGGGCCCCGGACAAATCAATGGGGTAAATCTACCGTATTCTCCCTACAGCCAGCCACCCAACACAGTGCCGCAGTGGACATACCAGCCTTAAAAGATGTAGAATTAAGAGGAGGACAATCTCCCGTGAGAATTCCTACAGAAATTTTTGGTCCCCTGCCTGCGGGAACTTTTGGCTTGCTCACGGGTAGATCTAGTTTAAATCAAAAAGACATTACTGTTCACTTAGGAATTATAGATGCAGACTATACTGGAAAAATTCAAATTCTGATGTCCTCACTTACAGATTATAAATTATTAAAGGGAGAACGTATAGCTCAACTCATTTTACTGCCTTATATCCCAATAGGATCCTCTGTTGTTCAGCGAACAGGAGGGTTCGGCAGCACTAACCCTATTAATGTAATGTGGACAGCTAAATTATCTCAACAACAACCTCTTATTAATATTTTTATTGAGCATAAAAAAATTCAGGCTCTTATAGATACAGGCTCGGATATTACTATTGTTAAACCCACTGATTGGCCTTCTCATATTACTTATACTATTATTCCATGTAATATAAAAGAAGTAAGTAAAACTCCAGTAAATACAATTGGACAAGCCACAATACATATACATATAAAAAATAAAGAGGGTCAAGTTGCTGTTATTAAACCTTATATCTTAGAGGTGCCAGTTTCTATTTTAGGAAGAGATATATTAGAACAATGGGGAGCTTATATACATTTTTAATATTTTACATGTTTCTACAGCTTAGGGAAATAAATCCTTTAAAGCTTAATTGGAAAAATGATGACCCAATTTGGATAGATCAGTGGCCTTTGACTACTCAAAAGTTACAGGCAGCACAGAAATTGATTGATCAACAACTTTCTCTACATCACATAGAACCATCCACATCTCCTTGGAATTCTCCAATATTTGTGATAAAAAAAAAATCAGACAAGTGGAGACTTTTAACAGACTTACGTGCTGTAAATTCATCCTTATTTCAAATGGGAGCCCTTCAGCCCGGCATTCCTTTACCCTCAGCGCTCCCTGCTGGTTGGTTTATATATGTTATAGATTTACAAGATTGTTTTTTTAACATCCCATTACATCCAAAAGATAAAAAACGGTTTGCTTTTTCAATTCCTCAAACAAACTATCAAAGACCTTATCAAAGATATCAATGGAGGACTTTACCCCAAGGAATAAAAAATTCCCCAACTATATGTCAAATTTATGTTGATACAGCATTAAAACCAGTGCGTGCACGATGGCCTCTTACGGCTCATTTCATGGATGATATTTTATTCTCATATAGTGATAGAAATGTTTTAAAAGATATTTTAAAAACTTTACCTCAATATTTTTCTCCGTTTGGACTTGTAATAACACAGGATAAAATTCAAAAGAAAGAAGTTAGTCAT